GGTCATAGTCCTAATGGTCATAGTCCTCATGGTCATAGTCCTCATGGTCATAGTCCTAATGGTCATAGTCCTCATGGTCATAGTCCTAATGGTCATAGTCCTCATGGTTATCATCCTCATGGTCATAGTCCTCATGGTCATAGTCCTAATGGTCATAGTCCTCATGGTTATCATCCTCATGGTCATAGTCCTCATGGTCATAGTCCTAATGGTCATAGTCCTCATGGTCATAGTCCTAATGGTCATAGTCCTCATGGTCATAGTCCTCATGGTTATCATCCTCATGGTCATAGTCCTCATGGTCATAGTCCTCATGGTCATCGTCCTCATGGTTATCATCCTCATGGTCATAGTCCTCATGGTTATCATCCTCATGGTCATAGTCCTCATGGTTATCATCCTCATGGTCATCGTCCTCATGGTCATAGTCCTAATGGTCATAGTCCTCATGGTCATAGTCCTAATGGTTATCATCCTCATGGTCATAGTCCTCATGGTCATAGTCCTAATGGTCATAGTCCTCATGGTCATAGTCCTAATGGTCATAGTCCTCATGGTCATAGTCCTCATGGTCATAGTCCTAATGGTCATAGTCCTCATGGTCATAGTCCTAATGGTCATAGTCCTCATGGTTATCATCCTCATGGTCATAGTCCTAATGGTCATAGTCCTCATGGTCATAGTCCTCATGGTCATAGTCCTCATGGTCATAGTCCTAATGGTCATAGTCCTCATGGTCATAGTCCTAATGGTTATCATCCTCATGGTCATAGTCCTCATGGTCATAGTCCTAATGGTCATAGTCCTCATGGTCATAGTCCTCATGGTCATAGTCCTCATGGTCATAGTCCTCATGGTCATAGTCCTAATGGTCATAGTCCTCATGGTCATAGTCCTAATGGTCATAGTCCTCATGGTTATCATCCTCATGGTCATAGTCCTCATGGTCATAGTCCTAATGGTCATAGTCCTCATGGTCATAGTCCTAATGGTCATAGTCCTCATGGTCATAGTCCTCATGGTCATAGTCCTCATGGTTATCATCCTCATGGTCATAGTCCTAATGGTCATAGTCCTCATGGTCATAGTCCTAATGGTTATCATCCTCATGGTCATAGTCCTCATGGTCATAGTCCTAATGGTCATAGTCCTCATGGTCATAGTCCTCATGGTCATAGTCCTCATGGTCATAGTCCTAATGGTTATCATCCTCATGGTCATAGTCCTAATGGTCATAGTCCTCATGGTTATCATCCTCATGGTCATAGTCCTCATGGTCATAGTCCTCATGGTCATAGTCCTCATGGTCATAGTCCTAATGGTATCATCCTCATGGTCATAGTCCTCATGGTCATAGTCCTAATGGTCATAGTCCTCATGGTCATAGTCCTAATGGTCATAGTCCTCATGGTCATAGTCCTCATGGTTATCATCATGGTCATAGTCCTCATGGTTATCATCCTCATGGTCATCGTCCTCATGGTTATCATCCTCATGGTCATAGTCCTCATGGTTATCATCCTCATGGTCATAGTCCTCATGGTTATCATCTCATGGTCATCGTCCTCATGGTCATAGTCCTCATGGTCATAGTCCTCATGGTCATAGTCCTAATGGTCATAGTCCTCATGGTCATAGTCCTCATGGTTATCATCCTCATGGTCATAGTCCTCATGGTTATCATCCTCATGGTCATCGTCCTCATGGTTATCATCCTCATGGTCATAGTCCTCATGGTTATCATCCTCATGGTCATAGTCCTCATGGTTATCATCCTCATGGTCATAGTCCTCATGGTCGTAGTCCTAATGGTCATAGTCCTCATGGTCATAGTCCTAATGGTCATAGTCCTCATGGTCATAGTCCTCATGGTTATCATCCTCTGGTCATAGTCCTCATGGTCATCCTCATGGTCATCGTCCTCATGGTTATCATCCTCATGTTATCATCCTCATGGTCATAGTCCTCATGGTCATAGTCCTCATGGTTATCATCCTCATGGTCATCCTCATGGTCATAGTCCTCATGGTCATCGTCCTCATGGTCATAGTCCTTATTAAACTCATTTTTAAGCTAGTTTGGGTTGATTAGCTGGTTGACTTGCTCCCAGTATTGTCTCACCAGAACAACAATATTTAAAACAACAAAAAATCTCTTGTCTTTATTATCAGTGTGAAATTGTATCTTGTTTTTCCATTGATTGTTTATAAATCCTTTTATGCTTCTCTAGAAGGTTTTGACCCAGCCAAAGTCCTGACTGATAGATTTTTACAGGGAACTAAAAATTAGGGTGATGGTAAGGAGGGCTTGCAGTGTCAAAGACATAGAGCTCAAGATATATTATCAAAGTGCCAGAGAATGTGCAAAAAGCTGCTCAGCAATAATAAGGACTTGATTACTGTAATGCCAATAAAGCTCTGTTTGTTCTCATATCATTTGTGTTCACCTTTCAGAATCCAATCACAGTTTAAAGGCTCTCACGTTGGAGGATATAAAATTGTGTGACTGTCTGCCTGACATCCTGAAACTGCTGAGAGGCTGTATGTTGGAAGGTAAGCCAAGGAGAAAACAGGTAATGGCTTCCATCATTCTGTGTCTGCTGAGACATTTCTGGGTGTGTCCTGCTTGACATGCAGCATAAACTAGGACCAATCAATCAACCGGATCTGAATCCCAACCCAGAGAAACCCTACTCCTGCTTGTCCTTCACTCAGAGCTAAGCTTCAATGACTGTCGTCTTCTGGAGAGGTGTGTCAACCCAGAAAAACGTCTTGTAGAGCTGGTGGCTGCGTTGAAGATGCCTTCACTTCACTCTCTGAGTCTAGCACAGAATCGGCTTGGTAAGCAATCTTCATGATTTTTTTTGTCAGTAGAATGTAGTTCAGGCTTGTACTTATGACATTTTCAGGAATTATTTGCGCCGATGCCAATACGTTCTCACCAAACAGTTAAAGAAAGAAGCAAAAGAATGATTTTGAAAAACCCATTTTGGCCGCTTGTATCCGCGATCTCGTTCTTTCGGTCATGACCCAAAGCTCATGAGGGAGGGAACGTAGAATGGCCGGTAAATCGAGAGCTTCGCTTTTTGACTCAGCTCTCTCTTCACCACAACGGACCGGTACAGCGCCGATCCACCTGTTGATCTCCCGCTCCCTTCTTCCCTCATTTGTGAACAAGATTCCTCGACCCTTTTCTGGCTCAAGACCACGGCCTCGGCTGCAAACCGTTCCAGCCAGAGCTGCAGGTCACGTCCCAATGAAGCCAACAGGACCACATCATCCCCAAAAAGCAGAGATGGATCGTAAGGCCACCAAAACGGATCTCCTCAACGCCTCGGCTGCTCTACAAATTCTGTCCATAAAAGTAATGAACAGAATCTGTGACAAAGGGCAGCCCTGGCAGAGTCCAACCCTCACCGGAAACGAGCCTGACTTACTGCTGGCAATGCGGACTATTATTATTATTATTATTAATATTATTATTCTTATTATCATCATTATTATTATTATTTCCCTAAAAACATAAAGAAGAAAGGCTTAGCCTGGCGGTTGGGCTAGTAATGCACTGTGGGAAACCTGAAATAGTAGCAGCATTTCTTTATTTAGCTAATTGTTGCTATTGAACTTGCTACTGAATGATCCATTTTTCCTCCTTGTGCCAACAGCTAAGAATGTGTGTGTGCTGGCAGAACTGTTCTCAGGCCAGTCACAGAGCTCACTGAAGCAACTAGACCTCAGGTGAGAACAGTCTGTCCTCAAACGGAACTGCTTATTTTCTTCTTTTAAAGTCGGTGGATTTTACTCTCTTTGTGTAAAATCCTCTATCTTAAACGTTTCACAAGGTTCTGATTCACTTATGTGTTTGTAGCATAATAAAAAGAGAGCTCTGCTGCCACAGGGCAGGAAGTAAGCAACATTTGATAAATGACTAAAAGCTGTAATCATAAAGGATACTTTGTTGACGTCTTTATCTTAAGCAAGATTATTCAACTTATTTTCCAAAATTCATGTACAATTTAAATGTAGCTGTCTGAACCCAAAACCAAGGTGGATTGGTTCCATTTACCCTCAAAACATCCACTGCTATGCTCTAAAAAGTTATATTTAAGATTTACAATATTATAGTCAGTAAATTCTAAATTTGTTTTGAGCTTGTTTAGTGTTTTTACTTAAAAGCCACTGATCAGACACTGTCCGGTTCACGGACTGCTTGCATTGAAGCAGACATTGATTAGCCTTTCACTGGTTCTGTGTTTCTCCCTTTTAACTGTATTACATAATATCTCTTTTTCTTAAACAGGTCCAATTTCATTCAGCCTGCTGATCTGCTGGAATTTGCTAAGAGACTGATGATTCATCCCCCTCCACACAGACTGACCCTTGACCTGAGGAAGAACCCAGGAGACAGAGACCCTGAGACGTGGAACATGGCACTGAAGAGGCTTCAACCCTCCAGCTTTTTACTGGTTGAGGGATGGAAATCCACAGACACAATGGTGGATCACATCAGCAATATGTAAAAGAAAATCTGGAGGATGAAATGTTGTATGTTGAGCCTCAGTAGGAATGATGCTAAACCATTTCCTTTTTCCAAAGCTTTGGATGGCTGTGATCTGAAACTAAACACACAAAATGGGAATACCTTCCGGAAATTCTTTGAAATTAGTTTGATTTGTCTCTTTGACAGCAGAGAGACGAGTGTACCCTGTCCCTTATTTACCATGGGAGATGGGATCTAGTTCCCCCATGAACCCAAAGCAGCCATAAACAGCAGATGATTTTCTATCATTTCATTTGTTTTCTTGCATCCAAGTTCTGAAGGAGGAAAAAAAGATAATTCTACATCAGTTTGTCATTTTAATATTTATTAAACATTACACCACCAGAGATGTCTCTGATATGGTGTGTGCTTGTGTGTGACTGCGGACATTAACGTACAACTGGAGACTGACAATAAGGTGGTATGGCCATGTTAGACAATAAGCATTGACACAACTACCAATTCATCATAAGTACAAACAAAGTAGGAAAAAAAGGATCCAAAATAGGATTAAGAAGACTGCTGTTTTGTTTATTGACTTTAAAACTAGCATTAAAGATTGCTTCAATTTTACCTTGATTTCTCTGTCACATTGTAATAAACTTCAGCTTAGGACAAGGGTGACCCTATGAACATGCTAATTGGTTGTTTAGCATGTTCATCGGTTGCTTGCCTTACAACCAGCCAATCTGTTGCATTAAAAACACCAAACATTCACACTGCCACATCAAAACAGCTCCCACAGACCAAACACAGGCTTACCAAACCAACCAAAATATCCCAGAATTGTTTAGCAATATCAAAAATGACATTGGAGCTTGATGGGCCAAACATAAATCAAGCTGACTGTCTTGTTTGAAGAAGTCAATCAGCACTACAGTCACACCTTTGGTCATGTTGGTGTCATTGAAATTATAGAGAGCATCTGAAATACCCTACCCTAACCCCAAACCCAAAACTGTTTAGTGTGGATATGTACATACTACTGGACTGCTGACATGGCAGGAATTTAGACTGGGTCTTCCAGTCCTCAGTCAATTTAAAAACTGACATTTGCATTTAGCAAAGATAGTATCTCTGTGTCTACCCATTGTCACAGCCTACACACTATAGATTCACATATAAAGTCTGTATCTGGATGATAAGCTGTGTGCAAAACACAGACTTGGTAACAGAAGTAATAATTTTAAGGGGTGAATATGGCTGCGCACATCTGGCCTTTCATTTCCGGTAGCTGTTAAAATTCTCCCCTTCAATAAGAAAGTTAGTGCAGTAATTTATGCAATGACAATTGTTAAATGGCATGTAACCAGTTTTAATTTTTTTTACATCAAGTCTAGTGTTAACTTGATATAAGGAAGATTATTACAGACAAGTGGATTTTTATAGGAGAAACTAGTTAGGCTAGTAAAATGCACAGTTTTTTGTCTTCAGAGACTCACTTTAAATTAATGTTTGAAGGGATAAATAGCTTGACTGTTTGATCATATGCCTGATCATTAAGTCATCAGCTTAATGATGACAATGATCAGTCGACTGTTTGCTCACAGTCGACCAACAACATCAATGTGTATGCACCCTGCATGTTGAGAATTACACACACACACACACACAATGCCCAACATACACACTTAAGTACAATACAGCATGTCAAAGGCATTAGAAAAATCTGAAATAAATATAAATAAATTATTTATCAAAGAATCGGTTAAAAACAAACTGTTAAACATAGAAAATATTTCAAACAAATACACCATTGTTTACTCAAAGACTGAATGGATGACAAATGAACACATGCACACACCGATTAAACACTAGTGAGCTGAAAGGCCTGTCTGGGCTGAGGGAAATGTTCGACGGATTCTCTTTGGGCTCTCGTGTCTCAGTTCCTGCTAAAGCAGCTGTGAAATCCCAAAGTAGCTAATAGTATTCGAGGAGGGGAACACTGGCAGTGATATCATTGATCCTCCATGGATCTGGAGCTCAGCTTCTGGGGAGCTGATCCATGGTGAAAATCCATTTTGGCAGAGTCAACAAATGTGAAGATTTCATTCTGAGAAACCAAAACTGTAGAGCACAAGGCTGTGGGAACAACTTGCATCCTGGAATCATGTGTTATGGAGTCAAAGTGAAAGCCATTAGCACTTGATCAGCACCACACAGATGAAGTGAAAGATTTCAGTGAGCAGTTTGGGAGAAAACCACAGACAGTCCATTCAAACGTGCAGAAAAACTTAGGGAACCAACAATGCTGCTTTTGCATCTGTCAGCAGGTCTCACTGATGATAACTGTTCAATTTGAGGACATTATTTACTGGTTTGCTTAGTAACAACAAAGATTAACTGAATCAGGAGGACAAAACTAGAAGCTGCTCAGCTATAGGCAGATCAGAGCTCTTTGCTTGGTCCTGCTGGTTTGATCACATGGCCAATTAATCAGTTGATTAATCAATTAATCAATCACAACCAGCAGCTTGGTCTGGGGAGAGGAGCAATTCAAATATTTAAAAAACCTTGTGGAAATTAAACTTATGGCAAATCTGATACTGTGCAAATGTTACAGATCAAAGACGTTATTATATACTCACCGGCCATTTTATTAGGTACACTTTGCTGGTTGGAACCCCCCTTTTGCCTCCAGAACTGCCTTAATCCTTTGCGGCACAGATTCTACAAGGTACTGGAAACATTCCTCACAGAGTCTGGTCCATATTGACATGATAGCATCCTGTAGTTGCTGCAGATTTTGTCAGCTTCACATCCAGAATGTGAATCTCACATTCCATCACATCCCAAAGGTCCTCTATTGGATTGAGATCAGGTGACTGTTGAGGCCATTTGAGTTCAGTGAACTCATTGTCGTGTTCAAGAAACCAGTCTGAGACGATTCATGGTTTATGACATGGCGCGTTATCCTGCTGGAAGCAGCCATCAGAAGTTGGGCACACTGTGGTCATAAAGGGATGGAGATAGCAACAATACTCAAGTAGGTTGTGGCATTGACACGATGCTCAATTGGTACTAATAGGCCCAAAATGTGCCAGGAAAATATCCCCACACCATTGCACCACCACCATCAGCGTGAACCGTTGATATAAGCAAGGATGGATCCATGCTTTCATCTCATTGACTCCAAATTCTGACTTTACCATCCAAATGTCGCAGCAGAAATCGAAACTCATCAAACCACAACACATATTCTATTGTACAATTTTGGTGAACCTCTGTGAATTGTAGCCTCGGTTTCCCGTTCTTAGCTGGCAGGAGTGGCACCTGGTATGGTTTTCTGCTGCTGTAGCCCATCCGCCTCAAGGTTTGGCATGATGTGCGTTCAGAGATGTTCTTCTGCATACCTCATTTGTGGTTATTTGAGTTACTTTTGGCTTTCTATCAGCTCAAATTAGTCTGGCCATTCTCCTCTGACCTCTGGCATCAACAAGGCATTTGGTCCACAGAACTGCTGCTTACTGGATATTTTCTCCTTTTTCGGCCTATTCTCTATAAACCCTAGAAATGGTTGTGATCAGCAGTTTCTGAAATACTCAGACCAGCCCGTCTGGCACCAACAACCATGCCAAGTGACATAACGCTCTGCTGTTGACATGACCAACAGCAGATTGTCTCGGCCATGTCTACATGCCTAAATGCATTGAGTTGCTGCCGTGTGATTGGTTGATGCAACAATTGCTTTAATGAGCAGTTGGACAGGTGTACCTAATAAAGTGGCTGGTGAGTGTAGAGCATCAATACCTGCTGGAATCAAGCTTTTGAATCACTTCATGTGATTTAAAGGAATTGAACTCAAGTGTTTAAGCTGCCCCTAAACAGAAAAACTTCAGGGTGAGGACAGCCTGTCTTCATAAACCTCGGATCATTATGAAAATTCTTCAAACTCAGAGAAGTAAACTTCACTGCACTGTAATCAAGATGGGGCTCCATCTTCTTCAGCAGGATGTTCCTGTGTCTACAGGCATGACACCGTGGTTTTCCTGATTTTCTGTTAATCTTCAGGCAAGATCACAAATGGATAACAAATGACCAAATGTATTCCATTACAGTTCTTAGCTCCTAATAAGTTTAGTGGGAGTCTATAACAATGACTAAAAGATAGAGCCAAACTATGTTGATAAAGCCATTTCTCCAGTGAAGTGTGAGACATTAGTGGAATGTCTGATAAACGTGCACTAATTTTACTGAAGAACACGCCTCTACATCAGATGGCATTACTGCAGACTTGTAAGACTTGTATGGAAGTGTCCAATTGACGGTGAATGTCTCTTTAAGCCAGGCAAACAGAAAGTGAAAAGAACTTCATACAAAACTTACAATTAACCAGAGGTCTGCAGATCTGAAAGAGAAATTCATATAATTATGAGATCCCTGCAAAAATCTTCAAGCTGAATGTCTATAGTGTAATAATGGATGTGAAGGCACACACAGTACTGTTAGGTTCTGCAAACCCAACCAAACATTGGTGGTTTATATGCAATATTACAGAAACAGCTGATACAACTCAAAATGTAAAGCAGCCAAACTCAAATCAAGGCAGTTTTTGTCGTCAAAAGTAAAAATGAACTTGCCAAGAATTCACCAGCAGCAATAATTTGAATGTATGGTGTCTATGTGCTGTGGGAGTGTGCAGGGAGCTGGTTAAAGGGAGCACAGGAGAGGCTGTCGGTCACTGAACAGCTGTAGGGGGCGCTATAAGATCCCATCCATGAAGCTGGTGTCTAGTCGTTGGATGAGCACCCGAATGAAGGACATCTCCTTACGGGTGTTCTCAAAGATCACCCTGGGATCATCTGACTGGCAACGTAGACAGTTAGGAGCCATGACCATGGCCAAGTTGTTCACATCCATCTTGGTAATGGCTACGTTGGCAGGTTGGGCAAAAACCTAAACAGAAAAACATCATTTGTGTTTTTACAGCAAAATATATATTTTACAGCCAGGGTACAGCAGGAATTGACAGTGTTGATGCTGTTGTCTGGACACATGACACTCTTCCCCCGGTGACTGAGTGAGAGAGGGTTGAGTGAGGGAGGGTTGAGTTGGGGGAGGCTTGAACGGGGGAGGATGAGCGAGGGAGGGTTGAGTTGGGGGAGGCTTGAACGGGGGAGGATGAGCGAGGGAGGGTTGAGTTGGGGGGGTTGAGCGAGGGAGGGGTGAGTTGGGGGAGGCTTGAACGGGGGAGGATGAGCGAGGGAGGGTTGAGTTGGGGGGATTGAGCGAGGGAGGGTTGAGTTGGGGGGGTTGAGCGAGGGAGGGTTGAGTTGGGGGGGTTGAGCGAGGGAGGGTTGAGTTGGGGGGGTTGAGCGAGGGAGGGTTGAGCGAGGGGGTTGAGTTGGGGGAGGCTTGAACGGGGGAGGATGAGCGAGGGAGGGTTGAGCTCACAGAGCAGAGGTATCAGTTCATCTCTCCATCATTATTTAGAATGAAATGAGCATGCTGGAAGTGATTTGCAGAGAAATGCACTTTTCTTGTATCTTTATGTTGAAATACTTCATCGATTTTTATTGAAGCTGATCTTCCTGGAGTAGTGCTGGAATTTACAGCATCCTGCTAAACTCTGTTCTTTGTGGATACAAGTTAAGAAGATTGAGTTGAGAGGAATTATAGTCCTTTGTTGTTTCCCATAAAAGGACTTAATTATCCAGATTGTAAACAAGCATGAAAACCTCGCTGCTATAGATGGACAGTAAGCTCAACACTTCTTTCATTCCTGATAAAGCCGCCATATGTTGGCCAAAATATGTTGTAATATTTCTATTAAATAAAAATGTGCTGTTTTCCCATAATAAATATAAGTGCCAAACATTATGAAGCGAAATGGAAAAATATTGAACAAAGAGTGCATTGGAAATACTGAAAGTATCACCAATACACTTAAGCATGTTAATACTGTTACTTGTTTCTCACTGGGTAAAGTAGAACGTCTGGACCCTAAACAGCTGTTAGCGGGACCAGACACAGCGCTATAGAAGTACTTTCCAGATCACACAGTCTCACCAGAGGTATGTGTCATTTCATTTCTGAAGCTGAAGGTAGTGTTGCTGCTGCTGCTGCTGTTGCTGCTGCTGCAGCTGTTGCTGCTGCAGCTGTTGCTGCTGCAGCTGTTGCTGCTGCTGCTGCTGTTGCTGCTGCAGCTGTTGCTGCTGCTGCTGCTGTTGCTGCTGCAGCTGTTGCTGCTGCTGCTGCAGCTGCTGCTGCTGCTGCTGCTGCTGCTGCTGCTGCTGCTAACTGTATCCTCTTTCTCTGGTCCTTCTCACCTTTATCACTTCTTGTGATTTCTACATTCTGATCCATTCCAATGCGCTGTGGTTCAAGTTGAAAAGGCTTAATAATGTTACTCAGCTCTAATTGGCTGAACAGAGCTAGCACAGTTGGACCTATAGAGATCATTTACCCTGAATTCATTGCAGCGTCAACAATATATCAATGTTGTATGACAATATTTTATTAAAATGCATAAAAACAAAACAACCTACAGTATTATTACGGTATTGTCTTTATTTGTGAAATATTTATTTTATATGTAAAGTCTATTGTTACAACTAATCAACCTTTAAGTCTGCTGAGGAATGAGGAGTTTCTGCATGTTTGTCTGCCTTTAAAAAATGAAAAACAAAAACATGCCAGAATGACTTGACAAAACCATGTCAATAAAAAATAGGATTATAGACATGTTGGAGATAAATGTTTTGATAACAGGTAATATATAAATGTTGCGACTTTGTAAAACTAATTTTCAAGAGGAAGACAAGAACTCCCTTAATCAAGTACAGCTTAATTTACATGCACTACTACATACTGTATATGAGTAAAAGTAAAAGGAACCAGTTGATCATCAATTGTCTCAGTGTGAAATGGTTAAAATATTCCAGCACCAACTTAATCAGAAAATGATAAGGTGATTGATACAACAGCACATCTTCATGGCACTGTGAGTGAGTCTGTTACCTGCAGGAAGCGAATGAGGTAGCAGAGTACCAGCTTGTTGATGTGAGGCAGGCCCAAAACCACATTGACAGCAGCCTCTGGGTTATCATAGCTACTGATACACTTCTCGTAGAACTCGTGAGGGATCAGTGGCTCTTCCAGTTCCCGGTACCAGAGTTTCAACAGAGAAGCTGGAATTGAACCCAACAATAAAGAGCAACAGTTTAGAACATTTCAACTTCTTCAGCTCCCCAGATCCATCTTTCAGGTCCATCTTTCAGGTCCATCCATTTACATGCTCAACTGACTCAGGTTAATAAACAAGACAAATTACCATAATTATACAGGTGATACAAAGTCACCAAGTGACTGGCTCCTTTCAAGTGTTGAGCAGAACAAATCCAATTCATGACACATCATCTCTTAGTCTCTTTTACTTATGAACTATTTTAGAGTGAACTATTTTATAAGTAACCCATAAAAATGAGATAGAGAAATGTGTGGAGTTATAGTTGAGGTAAAAAATATTACTCCTCCCACCCCTTACATTTGAAGTGCTGTGTTAAACAAAACAATGTTCTTAATACAGCTTTTCCAAACATCAGATTTACTTTGCACAAAAACTCAATTATTTCCCCAAAACTCCCAGGGCTACTAAAACAACTTGTTTGCGCAGGTTTTGTCTGTTTAATCCCTCACAGACGTTGCTTGAGGTTTCTCTAGATTAAAAGGAAAAAAATACTTTTCACTGTCACCTCTGACCTGCTCACGACAAGAACTTGATGCAAAGTCCCCGAATCCATGCTTCATAACTCAGTTCTAATTAACCAACTTTACTAAGCAATGTTTAGGATTAAAACTGTGTAATTGGATCTGAAAGAGAGTTGGACTTAATTTTGCCGCCAGATGCATGTTACTGAGCTATTACAAAAAAACTACATGGAACAATTTTTATCTCTATGATAGAAACATTTTAAAACCATCGTATCCTGTTCACCTGGGATGTGTGGATCTTCCAGTCCGGTGGGAATTTTCCATTGATCAACTTGCAGCTTTAGAGCATTAACTTCGTCTATGTCCCCTGGAACCCTAGAGAACAAAGACAGGATGGATAGGATTTAGACAGGATTTTCTTCATAGGATGTAAAAGCAGACCAATACAGTACAGGTATGTACTTCAGTTGCCTAAAGTCTTTGAGGAAAAACTGATGTGAATCAGTTCGTGCAAAAATAAATACACTGAATAACACAGATTTTTAGTAGGCTAAATGTGAATTTAGAGTCTGATTTGAACCTTCCAATCTGAGAGTTAAGTGGATAAAACAATCTTTATCAAACAAAGAACCACCTCTTGCGTTCAGTGAAGGCAGATTCCTCTGCTCTCCTCCCTGCCCAGGAGGGAGGAGACAGGTCAGAAAACGCTGTGATGTAAGAACGGAGGGGAATCCCAAACAGCTGACATGGCACAACCAGGCAGTCGCCCGGGCTGTCTGTCACACAGGCTGTCGCCTGTCGCCTGGCTGTCGCCCTGGCTGTCGCCCAGGCTGTCGCCCTGGCTGTCGCCCAGGCTGTCGCCCAGGCTGTCGCCCTGGCTGTCGCCAACCCAGGCTGTCGCCCTGGCTGTTGCCTGTCGCCCTGGCTGTCGCCCAGGCTGTCGCCTGTCGCCCAGGCTGTCGCCAGCCCAGGCTGTCGCCAGCCCAGGCTGTCGCCAGCCCTGGCTGTCGCCCAGGATGTCGCCCTGGCTGTCGCCAGCCCAGGCTGTCGCCCAGGCTGTCGCCCTGGCTGTCGCCAGCCCAGGCTGTCGCCAGCCCTGGCTGTCGCCCAGGCTGTCGCCCTGGCTGTCGCCAGCCCAGGCTGTCGCCCTGGCTGTCGCCTGTCGCCCTGGCTGTCGCCCAGGCTGTCGCCTGTCGCCCTGGCTGTCGCCCAGGCTGTCGCCCTGGCTGTCGCCCAGGCTGTCGCCCTGGCTGTCGCCTGTCGCCCTGGCTGTCGCCTGTCGTCTAGGCTGTCGCCCAGGCTGTCGCCTGTCGCCCTGGCTGTCGCCTGTCGCCCTGGCTGTCGCCCAGGCTGTCGCCCTGGCTGTCGCCTGTCGCCCTGGCTGTCGCCTGTCGCCCAGGCTGTCGCCCAGGCTGTCGCCTGTCGCCCTGGCTGTCGCCCAGGCTGTCGCCTGTCGCCCTGGCTGTCGCCCAGGCTGTCGCCCTGGCTGTCGCCCTGGCTGTCGCCTGTCGCCCTGGCTGTCGCCCAGGCTGTCGCCCTGTCTGTTGCCTGTCACCCTGGCTGTCGCCCTGGCTGTCGCCTGTCACCCAGGCTGTGGCCTGTCGCCCTGGCTGTTGCCCAGGTTGTCGCCCAGGTTGTCGCCCTGGCTGTGTCTGGAAGAGCACGGGACACGGCAATGGAAATTCCGGTAGACGATCTAAATAAAGACACTGGAATGACCACATTGTTCGCTAAACTAGATGACTTGTTCTTAAAAGAGAAAAGGACAGGATCTATGAAGCATACTCGAATTTTGACCGGATCATAAAAGAAGTTAACATGTCGATGGCAGACTATATTATTGATTTCGAGCAGCGTTACTCGCGGATGAAGAAATACAACATGATGCAGTTTTGGCTTTTAAGCTTTTTGGCACCGTGTGTTTGGATATAACGGACAGACAGTTGGCTTTAACGCCATGCTCAGATGTAACATCTGTGAAGTCCACTTTGAAGAGAATATTTGGTGAAAAAAGAGATGCGGAACCAGAAGGCTGCTCCTTTTATCAAACACCTTTTCTTTTTGTTTCATCTTTTATCGCTTAAAATGAGTCCACAAACTCACTGTTGCTTCTACATCGTCATCCATGTTTGATTATTCTAAATTCACTATGGTATTTTGTTGGTTTTACTGGATTTTCTTCTAGAACTGGGATGCAAGTGGAATCGGTTCTTGTGATGTGTTGCTCCTGCCTGTGGCTGGACACACGAACTGATCGAACCTGTTGGACTTTTATCAGCTCTGTGGTCACAAAGTTTTGGAAAATCGGCCGACATCTCTTAAATCGTGCCGTGTGAACCAGATTTAGGACTCAGAAGTTCTACTCCTCTCGTCTCGAACTCTAACCTAACCTCTGACTCTGGTCATTGTGGTAACATTTACACATCCCTTCAAAATAAGATTCAGATGTTCAACAAAAATGAACATTTTATTTTCATGAAAATTTTAACTCACGATAACAACGAATGGACCACTGCTATAACTCATGGCTGCCATAAAAAAGAAGTTTGAATGAGTGGATAAATTGAAGTATTTAAAACAGATTTTGTGAACACAAAACAATACTAGAAATATTGGAAAGAAATATTTCTTTAAACAAGACAAAATAAAAGGAAAATTATGTCTAAAACTTTAAACAAGACAAATTTTAGTTTAAAAATGTGGAGAAATACTTGACTTGGACAATAAATATTTGGTAAATACAATCATTACAAATTGGGAAATTCTAAATTTACAGTTAACAAATATCTTTTCTCAAAAGTTAGAGTGAGTCAAACAAAATTACTTAAAAAGGTAAGATGAGAATATTTTAAAATGATGTAAAATAATTAAATGAATTAATGTTTTTGGGTGATGTTCTTAAAAATATGCAATTTGGATGGAATATTTGAAAATTAAGAGAAACTAATGTGAAAAAGACCTTAAAATACTGAGAATAAGGTTATGTTCTTGCTTTTACGAGGTGGTTCAGTGGTCAACAAACCCCCAACCAGTTTTGGTCAGCCGGGTGGGGGGTACATAATGGATCTTCTTCAAATAGGGTGTGAAAGTGTCTGCTTGAGTGTGATTGAGAGTGAATGTATTTCTACCAGGAGTCTTTGATGGGTTTTACGAAGCGCTGTGTAAATATGACTTCACTTTAGTGAATACATGTAGTGATACTTTTTCTTATTTTTAAACTATGTAGAGAGTAAATGTTTTATTTATAATCATGGTGGGGATAAATCTGTGGAAAGTTACAGACTGGTCTTATACTTGTGAAGTTCCTTGATTAAATAAAAAATCTTAAAAAAAAAAAAAAAAAGTAATAAAACTTTTCCCAGAATATTTTGTGAAATGGTGTAAAAAAGGGGAGGAAATTTTGAACTGTTACGTATGTGGGCCTGTGACCTGTTTTGGATACATTTATTTCGACAAATACTGCATAGAGATTTCTAAAATGATAATGATTACAAAAATTCTACTTGATATCAAACTTTAATTTAAACCGGAATCATCTGATTGGAGGCTTTTTACTCAAGATTGTACAGGTAACATTGAAAACAAATAGGATAACATCTGCTGTTTTGAAACTTTCGAAATTTTGCTTCATTGATAACTGCTTCAAATTTACTTGGAATAACGGAAATTGGAAACAAAATTTTGGTGAATTTTTTTTCTTGTTTTTCAGATTATTTTTTAAAATAGGGATGAAAAATAGGACATATTTACTTGGAGCACACCACACATGTATTAATTTATATGGCAGGAAGTCTTGACTGATTATAAATATTTTGGAATTACATAAAAGAGGGATGTGGCATCGATGAAGATTTGGAGATTGTGGTCTTTAGCAGACTTGATCTTTCATCATGGCATATTCTAAAATTTTTTCACTTATTTTATCCTCAAAACAGGATTTCTTTTTTATTTAAAGTGATCACTTTAAAATATTTTTCATAAAGTTACAGGATAGGTAAATACTTGAACTCATTTTGCTTCCTTCTGTGTATCCCTCACCTGAAAATGCCCTCTGTTTGGTCGCCATTGAGACCCAGAACCTCTTCAGAGAGACGGGTCTGGACCCAAGGCAGCTGGCGGTCTGGATATCGCTCCTTCTGAAGCACCATTACTTCCTCTAATGAAGAGCCAAACATGGATGGACTAAATATGGCATTCCTGGCGTGCTGGATTTCCTCGAGAGAGGGCTTCTGGAGCCCCTGATGAGACACACACAGAACACACAGGGACTGTCTTAATAAACCTGATAGTCATATACCAGTACAGGACTACAATCTCCTGTACTGACATTGGATGGATCCGTCGAATCCGTCAAATGGATTCGATGGATGTCTTCCCTGTTTGTGAATTGTCACAATCTTACAAACCTTTGCATCTTCTGGGGTTTTTTGTCTTGCAGGTTTCCCCAGCTCATTGTTTTGGATCTGTGGTTAATCCTTACCTTTTTGGCTCCAGTCAAAGCAGCTTTCATTAGTTTCCTGTAGCAGTATTTGGCGTAGCTGCTAATAGCAACTCCTTGAAAACAAAAAGACAAAGTTTCAGCAATTAAGATTTGAGTCCATGCTGATGGATTCTTTCAACATAAACCGATTTTATTGTATCACTGTTAGGTATCTGGGGGGGTTTTGTTCCTGTTGGTGGAGTTTTCTGGTTTCTTCTGCAGTGCCATCATTCACCCACTAGATGGTGCCAGAGGCAGCCTCCTGACTGGGCGGACCTGCGATTCTGCACACCTGTTAGTCATCACCTATTTTCCCGAGGGATATTAGAAGTGGACAACCTGCACTTCAGCGCCTGAGTGTCGCCAGTAATGATGTTCCTTGAGACATTTCTTGGAACCACCTCGTGAAGACCACATTCTGTTTTTTTTTTTTTTTTCTGGATTGTTCTTTCCTCGTGATGTAATCCCTCGCTCTCACTAGTGTCCCAGCAAGCCTGGTTCACAGACCAGTAGTCAAGCACCCCTCTTTCAGTCATTTTTATCACTTGCATAATAAATCACCTTTATCTGATTTCCAAGTTTCCCTGGTGTGTTTCTGTATGTGGGTCAGGCATCTAGCTTTCAACATGACAACTTCAACAGAAATTGCAAGTTAACTATTTTATTCTTGGTTATGCATGCACATGTTTTCTCTTCTCTCACTGATAACTTGTTTTCTTTTGCTTAAGAAACCTGTTTGAAATAAAAATGAAAAAAAGAAAAGAAAATGAAACAAAGTGAAGCCATCTCCAGACAACAATTAAACATGGAACAATTTAAATCTGAGAAATGTCCCGCTATTAACAAAATGAGCATGTTAAAATGTAAGTATACTGAAATGTGGTGCTTAATGTCTATACCCACTCATTTACCTTTGGTGTCATTCAGTGGGTCCATGTGTCTGTAGATGTATCCCTCCAGGTAGGTGTGGAAACGGGGAGTGGGAGGAAAGAAGGCGAGGCAGATGGCCATCAGCTCCCAACCACGCTCCAGGCTATCATACCGGAAATTCTCTGTAGTTTGACGGCACAGCTGGATGTAGAGCTCGTCACGGAGACCCTGGTTACTCCACCCCCGCACCACCACCTGAAAGAGAAAGCCAGGAAGCTGTCTAGTTAAAGACAAGCTCTTATCTTTATTCAACTTATTTCTTTGAGTTGTGCTAAAAAACTTATTGTGGATGCATCTTCCAGGAATGTTACCTACAGACTCTTCTCAAAGACACAACTGCAGCAGACTTTGGTGTGACATTGGTCCAGTAAGTTAAGTTTTTAATCAGACAATATTCAATTACACTGCTAATGTCTGACAGTCCAGTGTGTTTATTTAATTACAAACACTGGTGGTTCATGTGACATACATGTCTAACAATGTAGCTTCCTTAAAAAAGAAGGCAGGCAGTCAGGGAAGACTCCATGTTTTGCTTGAGAGCCATGTACCCTAAAACACACATCTGGGAAACTGCTCTTCAAGTTAGTTCTTTAAAACAAAAAAAGAGAGAAAAAGTGACTGAAGTCTATTTTAGCATGCTGTTGGATTTGTATGTGCATTTGAAACAGTTAGCCCTTAACATCTTCTTGTCCTCTAGGCCACTATTCTGTGTTTAACCCTCTCTCTCCCAAACAACTCAATTTAAGGAACACTAACCAGTAACGTCCATAAGTCTCTAATCAGATAACTTTTGTCAGTAACAAGTAAACTAATGCATTGCTATTTCAAATCCAGTAATCAGATTAAAGTTACTCATCCAAATCACTCTGCTTTACTATCCATCCATTCACCCTTATCCCCAGAGGGGTCAGGAGTTGCTGGTGCTTATCTGCAGCTGCGTTCTGGGCGAGAGGTGGGGTCACCCTGGACAGGTCAACAGTGTCGTGAAAACTGGTATATGGAGGTGAGATCTTTCCAGGTTCACGCAGAAAACAAATCATAAAAGGCCTGAGAGACTAAAGTAATCTTGTATGTTGATTTACTGTCAATTATGAAAAAGTGTGTTATGTTGATGAATTAATGATTCTACAAGTAAGTAAATTCTGAAGTTGATGATTGATGATTATATAAAATAGTTGAATGGTGAATCACAAGTTGAAAGTACTTTAATCTGGTTTGATTACTAAAATTAATGAGTATTAAGTAGGTATGGTTGAAAAAAATGTATTGAAAGATGATAGTGTTGATTTATAGTGATCATATAGCATGTAAAGGACTGAAATCACATAATAAGAGAATAGGGACAGTCTGTGGGTGCAGAGGCAAGCCTGGACATGTCTCGAGGATGGAAATTCAGAAACTAAGCCAGGGGCTTAAGATAAACAAGTAAAGCAGAAGTGGACAGGGCGATGACCGAATATGGGAAGGCATGGGACCTTCCATGAGGTAATCAAATGCTTGAGAAGTCGCGTACACCGTTTCCCCATACACAACAGCTAGGGGAAAGAGTATAAATAAACAGAGAAGCAGAGAACAGTTGTTCTTCGTCTCCAGTGGATCGAGCTGGCAGCAGCAGGCCAATGGACCAACAAGAAGCCGCGCCCTGGAATCGGAGGAAAGTCAAGCCGTCACACCACTGAAAGAGAGACAGGACCCGATGTCCAACAGCTCTGGCTCCTGATTTGATTGTGGCTTCACACTCAAAAGATCTCAAGAATCGCTGCAACGGACTTGGCAATTGGACAAAGGTCACAAAAGTGATGAAGATTGGGATGTTTGGAAGACAACAACCAACTTTGCTTTGTTCCTATTTGAAGGAGGATTTAAGACAAGATTCTGTCCAAGGATATTCTGTTGCTGAGATCCTCCATCATCTGGGTATGAGTCTGCCTGCACCCCAAAGCCTTATTTAGTGTATTGATGGCAGTTTAGGGAAAAGAGTTAGGAGAGGTTTATGTTGATTTTATTCACATTTATTTTGTTCCTAGATATTTGTAATAATTGATAATGAATTTAGTTGTCATTTACTCCTGCTTGAAGTTGCTTAAATAAACATATCTTTTTTTTGAAATTCTAATGAGGTTCGTGGACATTGAAATTATTTGAGTCATTTTGTTGGTTATGGTTTTTCTACTAATGTAACATCCATGTACATGATTCCAGAAATGTGGTGGCTTCGGACTTTCCTTTAGTTGTTACGTAGATAATGACCCTGGGACTTACAAAGTGGCTGAAACTAATCTAGCCATTAATAAGTGCTCGTTATTATTAGAGAGGGGGCTACCGCTAACAGAAGTGGTTATTGGGGTTATGCAGTTGTGAGGGCTACAGAAAATGGTCCTAACTTCTGGATTGTAGGTAATTAGAGCTAGACGAGTCTCTGTCGTCACCAGCTTAGACAGATTGTCCCTCTCAGGCCTTCTGCAGGGTAATAGAGACTTTCCAGACCTGTTGATGGATAGCTGGTCAGTAGTCAGCCCAAAGGGGTCATGGGGATTAGGGCGGGGCTGGCTATTGCGTAATAACATACACCAGTCTGTCGCAGGGCAACACAGAAACAAACAGGACATACAACCATGCACACATTCATACCTAGGGAGAATTTGGGAAGACCAATTAACCTGACAATCATGTTTTTGGACTGTAGAATGAAGCCGGAGTACCCAGAGAGAACCCACACACGCACAGGGAGAACATGCAAACTCTCTGCAGAAAGACCCCTGGCCAGGAATCGAACCCAGGACCATCTTGCTCCAAGGCAACAGTGCTACCAACTGCACCACTGTGCAGTCCTCTGCATTACTATTTTTTAAATTTTCTCAATTAATTTAATCTTATTTCCTCTATGCATCTTGGGGAGTAACCTCCGTTTCTATGCGCGTTATCAGCACCAGTGACAGCACGCCTTGACAGAAACGCAAACGATGGAGGGAGGAGAGAGATGCATTTTGTTTCTGTAAAAACAGAAACTATTTTGAGGTTATGTCTGCAAAAGATGACAATATGGAGGTTCAATGTATCCTCTGAACTGGCAAGAAAGTTCTGTCTCTCTTGAAAAATAGCACGTCATGAAGAAACTAGAATCACACCACAGGACAATCAAACTGAACGAGCAAGCTGCACCAGGTGATTCAAAGAAGAGAGCTGTAACAGGAGAAGGGCCGACCCAAACCTCCAGAGGGCCCTAAGAAAAATTTGGTTTTGAGGCCCTCTGTTTTTGCTAATAATGTGGATGGCTGCAATCAACAGTCAGACAATTAGATCTTTCACACACCTGCGATAAACTTATTGTGTCTCTGACAGTGCTGATTATAATGTGTATTATCGATCATGTAGTGGTAGTAAACACAGCAACCACCCAAAATTCCATGCATTTGACTTAAGATGGAATATATATCTATGATATACTTGGATTAAATAAATTTCTCAATCCCAATAGCTAAATTTGTCATTTATACCAGGTGAGTCTTTCTTGTCTGAGAATGTGGATGTGGGCTAATTTTGTGCCATCAAATAATTTTTGCACTTTGCCTGCAGTTTTGTATCAACTTATAGGTTAAGGGTTAAAATAATCTTTGTTTAAGCAACAAACAACATATCGGCAACTACAACTTGGAGTAGATCATTGATATATTAATGGAGCAGCCATACACTGTAAAAAATTTGAAGGTGGTTTGACTTGAAAATGACAAGAAAATTGTACTGGTTTTAACTAAAACAAAAAAAGAATGTTTACACAACTTCTTCTTAAAGAATGTTGTTAAAATCAACTTCAGGACCTTTCATTTCTAAGTTTGTTAATCTGCAATTGGGGCCTGCCTAGCAATGCATAAGGAGAGCAGTGACTGACTTGCAGTCAGTCACTGATTTATCTCGTCGCTGTTATTACTGTGAGTGATTTACAGATATGAATAGCGGGACTATCGGAGACGAAAGATAGCCCTCTCATACGCTTCAAACAGTTTTCCGATACATATAACGGTTTCCGAATGGGAAGGAGTTGTTCGGACCGCTTTTTTCAGTGAAAACTGACTGGGTGTCTCACAAAGATAGAATTCTTTCTGTCTCACACACATGACAGTTGCAGAGGATTAATTACCATAGCAACGAAGCACAGCAGGGCCGAGCAGCTAAATAGAACTACAAAAACGCATCACTGTAGTTTTTACTATGGCAGAGCTCTGAGGAAGGAGCTGGAATTTAGAATTATAAATTAGAACTACAAAAACGCATCACTGTAGTTTTTACTATGGCAGAGCTCTGAGGAAGGAGCTGGCCTTTAGAACTATAAATTAGAACTACAAAAACGCATCACTGTAGTTTTTACTATGGCAGAGCTCTGAGGAAGGAGCTGGCCTTTAGAATTATAAATTAGAACTACAAAAACGCATCACTGTAGTTTTTACTATGGCAGAGCTCTGAGGAAGGAGCTGGCCTTTAGAACTATAAATTAGAACTACAAAAACGCATCACTGTAGTTTTTACTATGGCAGAGCTCTGAGGAAGGAGCTGGAATTTAGAATTATAAATTAGAACTACAAAAACGCATCACTGTAGTTTTTACTATGGCAGAGCTCTGAGGAAGGAGCTGGCCTTTAGAACTATAAATTAGAACTACAAAAACGCATCACTGTAGTTTTTACTATGGCAGAGCTCTGAGGAAGGAGCTGGCCTTTAGAATTATAAATTAGAACTACAAAAACGCATCACTGTAGTTTTTACTATGGCAGAGCTCTGAGGAAGGAGCTGGCCTTTAGAACTATAAATTAGAACTACAAAAACGCATCACTGTAGTTTTTACTATGGCAGAGCTCTGAGGAAGGAGCTGGCCTTTAGAATTATAAATTAGAACTACAAAAACGCATCACTGTAGTTTTTACTATGGCAGAGCTCTGAGGAAGGAGCTGGCCTTTAGAACTACTTGTGTTTTGGGCATTTTATAACTGATTTTTACCAACCTTTGCTACACATGGGATTAGTGTTAATTAAGTTTAATTAATCTTAATGAAATGAAGCTTACTGAAAATTTCAAAATAAAAGCCTTAAGATTCCTTTCTGGCTCATGCATATTTTAGGGAAAATGGCTGCCTCAAACTGATAGAATTATGTGTCCCCCTTTCTGACTCACATCTGGCAGAGGATCCATTACCATGGCAACGGAACACAAAGGGGCCAGCTGATTAGGACTACAAAAACGCATCACTGTAGTTCTAACTATGGCAGAACTCAGAGAAAAAAGCTGGACTTTAGAGCTGCTTGTGTTTTGGGCCTTTTATAACTATTTTTAACCAACCATTGTTACACATGGAATTAGTGTGGAAATTTTAAATTAAGCTTTAAAAATTTCAAAATAAAAGCCTTGAGAATTTTTAGATTAAATAATTGCTCTTTTGACCATTATATGTCTGATTTAACCAAATCACTGTTATACATGGGATTACATTGACCATTTAAAATGAAACATTCTGAACATTTCAAAATAAAAGCCTTAAGATTCGGCCGGGGCTAATGCAGCGCCGCAGGCGCTGCAATGATATTAGCTTGCATTATCTTTTCCTCTCAAGTTAGGACACTGTCTTGCATAGCAAGACAGTGCATTAGCATTAGCACAAACATTAGCATTTCTCTGTTTTCCACCAGTGCACTGCCGTAGGCAGTGCAATAAGATTATCCTGCATGATCCTTTCCACTCAGGTTAGGGCTCTGCCTTGTGCAGCAAGGCAGAGCATTAGCATTAGCCTTTTACCTTGCATGAGGTATTACCTATTTCCCTTACTTATTACCCATATTTACTATACTGAATGCAGTAAGTCATGCTTGTGACTCTCCACATTGTACTGATGACATTGCAGCTTTCTTTAGTATGGATGCTAATGTTTAGAATCAGAACGCTGGATCCAAATCGACGGGCACACTTTGGCAGGCCCCGGTTAAATTTCTTCAGGAATTTTCTAGTTTATTTATTTTTCTTCCGTCAACCGGAATGCGGCTCGTACCGCTGCGAGCCCACCCACAAAAGTGGTATCAAATCGTGCGGCTCGGCGCCGGGAAGGGTGCTATTACTTTTGGTGGGATTCAGAGTTACGATAAAAAAGTAAAAAGCGAAAAACCATCAAAAATTTTTTGTCAGGTACCAACTGCCAAAACTAGAGTGTAACTGACGTTTCGTTAGTGTGGGAAGCAGTGCGATTTTGACCCCAAATAAATTTTGAAATAGCCATCACGACCACAAATATCGCCCTATCGGTATCAAACTCGGTCATGACATAGATACGCATGCCTGCTCTGGTAAAAAATTTTTTCAAAATTTTCCTAGGGCTTATGGTTTTCTGTCTAGGGGCTTCAGAGCAAAGTGATGCGACAGGATTTTCACACGCACAGCCAGGTTCACTTCCATGTATTTCTGAAAAATGTCAGACCTCAGCGCACACCATTTTTATTTCGTCGCTGTTATTAATGTGAGTGATGTACAGATATGAATAGCGGGACTATCGGAGACGAAAGATAGCCCTCTCATACGCTTCAAACGGTTTTCCGATATGCATCACGGTTTCCGAATGGGAAGGAGTTGTTCGGACCGCTTTTTTCAGTCAAAACTGACTGGGTGTCTCACAAAGATAGAATTCTTTCTGTCTCACACACATGACAGTTGCAGAGGATTAATTACCATAGCAACGAAGCACAGCAGGGCCGAGCAGCTAATTAGAACTACAAAAACGCATCACTGTAGTTTTTACTATGGCAGAGCTCTGAGGAAGGAGCTGGCCTTTAGAATTATAAATTAGAACTACAAAAATGCATCACTGTAGTTTTTACTGTGGCAGAGCTCTGAGGAAGGAGCTGGAATTTAGAATTATATATTAGAACTACAAAAACACATCACTGTAGTTTTTACTGTGGCAGAGCTCTGAGGAAGGAGCTGGAATTTAGAATTATAAATTAGAACTACAAAAACATCACTGTAGTTTTTACTATGGCAGAGCTCTGAGGAAGGAGCTGGAATTTAGAATTATATATTAGAACTACAAAAACACATCACTGTAGTTTTTACTATGGCAGAGCTCTGAGGAAGGAGCTGGAATTTAGAATTATAAATTAGAACTACAAAAACGCATCACTGTAGTTTTTACTGTGGCAGAGCTCTGAGGAAGGAGCTGGAATTTAGAATTATAAATTAGAACTACAAAAACACATCACTGTAGTTTTTACTATGGCAGAGCTCTGAGGAAGGAGCTGGAATTTAGAATTATAAATTAGAACTACAAAAACACATCACTGTAGTTTTTACTATGGCAGAGCTCTGAGGAAGGAGCTGGAATTTAGAATTATAAATTAGAACTACAAAAACACATCACTGTAGTTTTTACTGTGGCAGAGCTCTGAGGAAGGAGCTGGAATTTAGAATTATAAATTAGAACTACAAAAACACATCACTGTAGTTTTTACTATGGCAGAGCTCTGAGGAAGGAGCTGGAATTTAGAATTATATATTAGAACTACAAAAACACATCACTGTAGTTTTTACTATGGCAGAGCTCTGAGGAAGGAGCTGGAATTTAGAATTATAAATTAGAACTACAAAAACACATCACTGTAGTTTTTACTGTGGCAGAGCTCTGAGGAAGGAGCTGGAATTTAGAATTATAAATTAGAACTACAAAAACACATCACTGTAGTTTTTACTATGGCAGAGCTCTGAGGAAGGAGCTGGAATTTAGAATTATATATTAGAACTACAAAAACACATCACTGTAGTTTTTACTATGGCAGAGCTCTGAGGAAGGAGCTGGAATTTAGAATTATAAATTAGAACTACAAAAACGCATCACTGTAGTTTTTACTATGGCAGAGCTCTGAGGAAGGAGCTGGAATTTAGAATTATAAATTAGAACTACAAAAACACATCACTGTAGTTTTTACTGTGGCAGAGCTCTGAGGAAGGAGCTGGAATTTAGAATTATAAATTAGAACTACAAAAACACATCACTGTAGTTTTTACTATGGCAGAGCTCTGAGGAAGGAGCTGGAATTTAGAATTATAAATTAGAACTACAAAAACGCATCATTGTAGTTTTTACTGTGGCAGAGCTCTGAGGAAGGAGCTGGCCTTTAGAATTATAAATTAGAACTACAAAAACGCATCACTGTAGTTTTTACTATGGCAGAGCTCTGAGGAAGGAGCTGGCCTTTAGAACTACTTGTGTTTTGGGCATTTTATAACTGATTTTAACCAACCTTTGCTACACATGGGATTAGTGTTAATTAAGTTTAATTAATCTTAATGAAATTAAGCTTAATAAAAATTTCAAAATAAAAGCCTTGACAATTTTTATATCAATTCCTGTTTGGAGCATTTTAGAACTGATTTAACACTATCACTGTTACTCATGTGATTAGACTGGACATTTTAAACGAGTCTTACTGGAAATTTCAAAATAAAAGCCTTAAGATGCCTTTTGGGCTCATGCCTATTTTAGTGAAAATGGCTGCCTCAAACTGATAGAATTATGTCTCCCCCTGTCTGACTCACAGCTGGCAGAGGATCCATTACCATAGCAACGGAGCACAGCAGGGCCAGTGGTTAGGACTACAAAAACGCATCACTGTAGTTTTTATTATGGCAGAGCTCTGAAGAAGATGTTGGCCTTTAGAACTACTTGTGTTTTGGGCATTTTATAACTGATTTTATCCAACCATTGTTACACACAGGGTTAGTGTGGTAATTTTAAATTAAGTTGAATTAAAATTTCAAAATAAAAGCCCTGACATTCTTCTATATTATGGAATTGCTCTCTTGGGGATTATGTGACTTTTTTATATACACCACTGTAAAACTTTGGATTATTTTGGACATTTAAAATGAAGCTTAATGAAAATTTCAAAATAAAAGTCCTAAGATTCCTTTCTGGCTCATGCCTATTTTAGTGAAAATGGCTGCCTCAAACTGATAGAATTATGTCTCCCCCTGTCTGACTCACAGCTGGCAGAGGATCTGTTACCATAGCAACGGAACACAGCAGGGCCAGTGGTTAGGACTACAAAAACACATCACTGTAGTTCTAACATGGCAGAACTCAGAGGAAAACGCTGCACTTTAGAACTGCCTGTGTTTTGGGCCTTTTATAACTCATTTTAACCAACCATTGTTACACATGGAATTAGTGTGGAAATTTTAAATTAAGCTTTAAACAAATTTCAAAATAAAAGCCTTGACCATTTTTATATTAAGTAAGTGCTTTTTTGACCATTATATGTCTGATTTAATCAAATCACTGTTGTACATGGGATTACATTGACCATTTAAAATTAAGCATTCTGAAAATTTCAAAATAAAAGCCTTAAGATTCGTCTGTGGCTAATGCAGCGCCGCGGACGCTGCAATTATATTAGCTTGCATTATCTTTTCCTCTCAAGTTAGGGCACTGTCTTGCGCAGCAAGATAGAGCATTAGCATTAGCCTTTTACCTTGCATGAGGTATTCGCTATTTCCCTTACTTAATGCAGTAAGTCATGCTTGGGACTCTCAACATGGTATTGATGACATTGCAGCTTTCTTTAGCATGGATGCTAATGTTTAGCATCAGAACGCTGGGTCCAAACCGACAGGCACACTTTGGCAGGCCCCGGTTAAATTTCTTCAGGAATTTTCTAGTTGTAAAGTATAACTTATTTCTGTAGTTTAAACCAAATAATACTTTCACAATATGTGAGACAAAAACTGCCCCCCTGCTAGTTAGAGGACACACATTTATCTATTATTTTCACTCACAATATCAAGTTAAATAACGACTTATTTTACTATAGACTAATTTAAATTCTAGTTTCAAATTACATGAACAAAATCTCTGATCTGATATTGAATTTTATTAATCATCACAGTAAATTCCGCTCAAAAACATTTAATATGAACAGGACATTATCCTCAAGCTTTGCAAAGTGTCAGTTGCATTAAGAGTCAGATCAATGTAACACACTTCTGTCTCATTCATGGTGAGATGAAGTGTATTCTTCGAGTGGCATGTACATGTCGCTAAACACTCTAGTTCTCACTCCAGTCTTTTTCTTCTTTCAGTTTTTTTTTAAATGCTAACCTAAAAATTCTTGTTTATTCAACTGTTGGAAGTTTGACAAAATTAATAAAAAAATAACAAATCTTGCAACTGGAAGTTTATCTTTCACAAACTCATATTTAGGTTCAAAATCTAAAACTCACTAAATTTATTTGACTTAAAGAGTAGAAAACAGTAGACAACTAAATGTAGCTCAAATGTTTTAAAGTGTGTAGTCTGATGTAAAACTATTTTGCAAGGCAATGTAAAACATTGAGAAGTTGGTATCAAACATTATGGAGCCTAAAACACCTCAGAAATAAATATGGCCAATCACAAGAATCAACTTGCTTAAAGTTAAACTCACCTTCATACAAACACAAACTGATCACTATCAAGCTAATTTTCTGTTAGCAGCTCCACAAATCTTGCTGGTAAGCATTACATTACCAAAACACATGCAAACATACCTTTTTTCTCTTCTTCCTCTTTCTTACAAAAACTAAACCTCAGTGCAAAACCAGTAAGTGATGGAGCGTTAAAAAAAAAAAGTCAGTTGGACATTATGGAGTAAAAGAAATACTGCGCTTCAACATGGTTTTGTCACTTTCATTTCTTGCCATAAGAAATCCCTGCTACTGTAAATGCTAAGCTGCCTCAGAGGAGTATGCAAAAAAGCATTTATGTTCAACAAAGTGAAATACTTTTTTTGTAAAACACAAAAAAAGTATATGTTTAATAAAATCAAGAAAGATACTATTTTTATATCAAGCAAGTAATTGTTTATGATACTGAACTCAAGAAGTACATTTATTTTTTGATAAAAATATGTATTTATGTTTAATGCAGTCAAGAAAGACTTATTTTCATAACAATTTTGTTGAGTCTGTTTGTTTGTTTGAGCCCATGGTGAGAAAATCAGCTCCCCTTGGGCTCAATCTAATTTAGTTACTTTCCAAATCAAGTTATCAGTAAAGTAATTAAGTTACCTTTTCAAGGACACTAACTGTACATCCACTGCAGATTTTCCTACCAGATCAGAGCTTATCGAGTTCGAGGTTTCCTGTGCTTGCCCACAAATGTTCAAGTCATTTTCTTGATTTTTAGCAATGTATAGCAATTGAGAAACATTGTGGTTACCTATGTTGTTTACATTTGAAGCCTTTTCCAAAAGTACAACAAGATGTTTTATATGATGCCAAATACATCATGGAAAACTAAATCCCCCACAAGGGTGTAATTGAAGTAGGAATAGGAAGAAACTAGCAGGGATGGAAAAAGCTGATTTTTGTGTCTCGGCTCTCTAAACTCCTGAGATAGGACAGAACAAAGATTTAAACTGAATACAGACCTCCAGAGCCAGTGAAAGAGGGTCCGCTTTGGAGCGACGGTCTCCCATAAAAGTCTGTATGAGCTTAAAGATGTCCACAGCCTCCTTCTTTACGCCTCGGTCTGTAGTCACTATCATTGGCTTCTTGATGGGCTCACTGCTCCAAGCTAGCATGTTGGCAATGGAAACTTTTCTCCGAAATAAACCCTACAGTAGGAAGACAGTGAACAGACATGAATCTGTCTATTCTATTACACAGCATGTTACAGTACAGAGTCAATAATAACAAAGGCCTTCACTATGATTTTCTTTTACAAGAGAAAATGCTATGAAAAGATCTTGCACAATACATTGCTCAAGCTATGTATAAACTAGAATGTAAAATGTGAGTGTAAACAACAAAAATTCTGACACAGCTTTGTGTACATGTGTGTACTCTAACCCCCGTTCCCCACTGGCTCAAATGGATCAGGTTCCACTCCACTCAGTCTGCTTTCAGAACATTTCCACAAGTATTTGTTCCAGCCCAGTATCAGATTTTCCAAACCCTCCGCTGGTGTAGGATCTGCCAGAGCCAAGTCGGTGCTATAATGTGACCAGGCCCGTCCAGAGATGGGGCTCAAAAGGTTCACATTGGGCAAGATCTTATAACACCGAACAACAATATAGCAACAACCCATTATAACCAACAATCTCATATCTAATGAGAACCTGTTACAATAGCAAATTCTGCTGGACCATAAATTGTCCCAGAAGTTATTGTGATAATATTGTTGTTTTGAGACAATTTTAAAGTAATATAATAGTAACACGAAAACACATTCTCAAAGATCAGTAAACTTCAACTTGTAATGAAAAGTTACAACTGGAACCAGAAACCATTTTAAATATCCAAAATAATTACATATAACAACAAATAAAAGAAATATTGAAGTATTTGTAAACAAAAGTGATAAAAAAAATTTAAAAAAAAAATTATTTTCACTATTTTTGGCTTCAGTCTGCTCCTCTTCTGGCTCCTCTTCTGGCTCCTACTTCTCCAGCTTTGGAGAAGACCCACTTGATGACATATGCAATCCTTTCTTCTACCACTTTAAATAGTTGAGCATTCAGAACCATCATGTGCTGCTAGAACCTCATTCAGTTCAGCTTGCTGACCTTAAATTTATATTTTAAGAAAAATATTCAAAATCCTAATTTATGCCTTCATTTCTATGTGTATTTACATGATTGTATTTTAGAACCATAAGATTTACCGTACCAGGTTAAATTAGCTTCAAACCCACATGCTGTTTAAAATGTTTTGTTTAACACATTTCTTTACTAAACCATTCTAAAGTGTAGGGACAAAATAACCCACAAAAACAATCTATTTTGTCCTGATTCACATGGTTGATGCCAAACAATGACTTGTTTACAGTATCCAGTACAGTAACAACATTAAAAATGACAAACTAAAGCCATTTACATGTATGGCTACAAGCTCCCTGTCATATAAACTTAAAACATGAAGAAATATAGCAGCTTAATGAAAGTCAGCTGTAAAATACATTGAATAAAGCTTACCATAATCTTTGGCGAAATAAAACAGACGAATCACAACATCCACAGGGAAGATGTATTGACAAGAACTTTGCTGAGTAAGCAATATGTGACGTAGCATCAATGTGCACATGTGCATTTCCACAAGGCAGAACGGATTGATGGGTAGCACAGATGGTTAGAACATTGAATCTGTGGAAACTTGATTACTTTGGAGTAGAGCAGAGTAATCACATTGGAAATTAAAGGAGAAATGCTACTTGACACTAGTGCAAGCCAATCCAGAAGTGCCAGTCATTTTTGTTAGCACTGATTGGCTGAAATCCATGAAGCAGTGCAGCTGGTGAATAAGGGGAAGAAGCTCCTTAAGAGCAGATATAATTCCTTTGTTTTGGAGTCATATCTGGAGTTATTGCTCACAAGAATTTGCTCAGTTGAGCTATTTGTGGGCAACAGTGGTCCATAACCACAGCAAATCCCAGAAATCTCATGTATTTATGCATTAGAGCAGGGGAAGCCATTAAAGGTCTTCATTGACTTTTCTATAAGTCAGTCAAATAGCTTATCAGTAGAGGTCATTACATCTCATAGTCATGTGGTGTAGCTCACTTACATGCAAACAATGCATCTCACTTCCATTTTGGGCCCATGTACTTATCAGACACCTTACCATCTTTATAGCACAATGCTGTTCATTTTGGTATCAGAATAAAGTTTGAATTGGTTGCACTCTATCCACATAAAATGTGTGTTGTAAACTGGTTTAGTTTGTATTTCATAGACATACTGCCATCATGTATATGTAATCATTTATATGACTGTTTTCTGATAACTTGTCCACAACACATGCAGATATTTGAACTCTAAAGAAAAAACATACAGTGGGCCAGAAGACTGACAAGCAAAATGTCAGGATTACTACCAGAACACAATTTCAGGAGTTTGGTTTCTTTTACCTGTGTATGTTTGTTGAAATGCTTGGATGCCCAGTTTTCAATGTCAGTCTCTGAGGAGGGCTTTCTCAAGCTAAATTCTGAGAATATGCCACAGCTTGCACTTGGCATCATATTCCTGGCATTTCGACTGGCTTCAAACTGGGCACAGGCACCAAGGTCCTCCGACTGTTGGAATAAAAGACAAAGACAAAAAGCATCGATCCCTTAATACAGAACTGCTGCAACAAAATAAGAGATGTGGCAGAAAGTTTGTTCATTAGACAAAGACAACTTTTAATGTAAATACACATACTCTAATGCAAAACAGAAGACACCCATTGTTTTTAATAATGTTCAACAAAAAGTGATAGGAAGTGAAAGGAGCAGATACAATAACTACAATATCCCTACAGCACTATAAACAGTAAGCAATCAACAATCCTGGACAGATATGACCACTTTCATCTGGATCACAGAATAGAAACAATGAAAATATTTATTAAATTACCACTTATAATCTTTTTAAAAAGGCCATGTTGGCAGCATTTGTTTCTTTCAGCAGAGGTAAGGAGGCAATGAAATTGGAAGTCAGCTCTTTTTTTAATTGAATATTTCCACAACAGTTGGCCCATTTTATCAAAACTCTGTAAAATAGTGATATTTACTGTGAGACCAGTGAGAAATGTTTGTCATTATGAATCTTTAACCCCTAATCCATCAAAAGAGTCCTAACTCTCTTCTGCGTAGATTTCAACCCGCTTTTTCTGATCTGGCCCTGGTTTCTAAGAGGGACAGAAACTTCCCCAAAGTCTATCCCCTTAGTGGAAAAGTTTCTGAAGTGGAAACAATCCCTCAACCTCACCTCAAAGCACACACAAAACAGATAATAACTGTGAATAAAGACAATTATGAGATGTGGATGTGATGAAGGCATCCAGTTTCTGGACCAACTGTGAGCATTGGCGGTGACCTTTGCTCTCCAAAATTTGAGAAGTGCATAAGACTCCACGTAAAAGCAATAACTGAAAACTTATCTCGGGTAAATAAGCATCAACTTTAAAGTGAAAAAATTTTAACTGAAATGAAATTATTGCTAGTGTTTTTATAACTTTCAACAGACACCAGTTTGTGAAAGAGACCAAAAGGTTTTCTTCTACTAATACAACACTGAAGATCATGAAGATCAACATGCTTTCAAAGCAGAAACAGACTCTAAAATATTTCCTCTGAATTAATAATAACTAATAATCATTTATAATAACTAATAACCTACTTCTTCTTACTTCAGAGTTATAGTTGACCAAGAGCCTTTGGCTATCATTTACTCCTTGTTTGTTTCCATTGCAAGTCTTTTGAAATCAACAATGTTCCACCAAATAAAAAACACAAAGGTTCATCTTAATGTTATACATGTCCCAAAGTTTTTGAACTACTGCAAAAATAAGATTCAAACAACAAGATTAACAGTAGTATTTCTCCATTCTCCTAGCAGTGAAAGCAGCTGTACCTGGGAAGGGTGCAGGTAAGGCTCAGGGGAAGCCAGATTGGTCTGGACAGAGAGGCTCTTCTCCAGCAGTGCCTGAGGGAACCCCAAACGGTCAAAGGTACTGCGTTTCCAGTGATGGCCATCGCCCTGGGCTAGTGCCTCATCCTCACTGAATGCCCTTACCACAGGTCCTGGCAGTGGGAGAGGCACTGCCCCATCGCTTTCATAGCCATCTTTGGAGCTGCTGCATTGGGTTACTCCTCCTCCCTGACCAGAGTCCCAACTGCTCCTCTGTTTCATGACCTGCTGGGCTTCCCATGCCAGCCTGGCCTGGGCCAGCATGACCTCTGATCCTGTGCCAGGGAGCTCCTCTTTTCCGCAGCATCCCAGCTCCTGAGGAAGGGATGGCTTGCGGCTCTTCCGTTTACGATTGCCACTGGGGGAGAAACCACCTGGCCCAGCTGTAGAGGAGGAGGACAGAGAGTGAGTCTGACTAGATGTCCAGGAAATGGAGTCTTCAAAGATAAACCTTTGAGATCCTTCTCCTCCCTCTCCACGGTAGTCCAAAAGTTGGCGGGGATCTCTAATCAGAGACTGGCTATGCTGCAGAGTATAGGACCCTCCAAAAGATCCACCAAAGCCTCCATTAGTACCATAACGCTGTAGACGGTCAGTAGTCTTGAAGCGTGGACTGGAAGATGACTGTTCCACGTACACCAGCTGCTTGACATATTCCTTTCCTACAGGACTGTACTCCAGGCTCTGAGCTTTTTCTGGACATTTTTGCCTCGTCAGAACCAGTTGACCATAGGATGACTGGTTCTGCTTGGGGGAGTGGTAGAAGGGAGCTGGAGACTTCCGGGATGGTGATTTGTTTGTACCATAAAGGGAAGATGAGTCTGAAAGGTTCATGTCAATAGGTGGCTCTTCATAGATGGGTGGTGGCTTAAAATCAGATGGAGGTTCCTCATACAGGGGGGGCTCAAAGGCGTAACGGGGTGATGGAGGCTGGGACTCAGCGGAGGGGCGGCGGTGGGTTCCACTGCTGCCTAACTCGGCTCGCTTCAGATATGGAGACTGACGACGGTCAGAGTAGAGAACCGGTGAGCCATTTGGTTCTGAGGGGGGGTTTCCTCCAGATGAATGGCGGTTTCGCAAGGTGTTGGCTCCTCCAGGCGTTGGGGATTCACAGAGTGAGTAGCCATTTCCTTGATGAGCCAAAAAGCTGGGCTCCCTGTCTGTCACCTTGATGAGCATCCGCTCCTTTGTACCAGTATTCCAGCGGAAAGAAGAAGTCCTGAATAGATATGGAAAAAAGCAGTTATACATTACAATTAAGTTCAAGAAAGTCCGACTGTCAGGTCAGTATTTATGAAGCATTTTACAATAATCAGTCTAAGTAAAAGGATGAGTGATATTAAGCAAACCAAGGGCAATAACATATTCTGTAAAACTGCAAAAACACAGAAGTTAGAATCAAAATTGGATAAATTTATTTAGATCAGATTCTTTGGAAAGGAGAAAAGGCCCAGAGCAGAGACAGGAGAATGGATTCATCCCGGTAGGTGATTCCCACATTCCAATTCTGCTCTGCATGATATGTGGTGACCGGTTCGCTAATGAAGGAATGAAGCCTTCAAACTGCTTCGCCACACGACCAAGCACCCTGTGCATAAACAACACTTTGTGTGTCATTGTTTCCCAGATGGGACCGTCTCGCTGCAGAGAAACAAGCTCAGGGCTCTCATTAGTCGTTATCATGAGTTAAAATTTTCACAAAAATTAAATGTTAGTTTTTGTTGCTCATCTATATCTTATTTTGAAGGGATGTTTAAGCGTTACCATAGCGACCAGGGTCAGAGAGCATAAGGGCAGTGGTCGAGATGAGAGTAAAGCTTCTGAGTCCTAAATCTGGTTCACACGGCATGATTTAAGAAATGTCATCCAATTTTCCAAAACTCTGTGACCACAGAGCTGATAAAAGTCCAACAGGTTCGATCGGTTCGTGTGTCCAGCCACAGGCAGGAGCAACACATCACAAGAACCGATTCCACTTGCATCCCAGTTCTAGAAGAAAATCCAGTAAAACCAACAAAATACCATAGTGAATTTAGAATAATCAAACATGGATGACGATGTAGAAGCAACAGTGAGTTTGTGGACTCATTTTAAGCGATAAAAGATGAAACAAAAAGAAAAGGTGTTTGATGAAAGGTAGCAGTTTCTCTATTTGCTGCACTGATTTGGAGGCGAGTTATGTTTTTTCTTAATAGTTTTAACTGAATAAACATCCATGTGTATTGAGCACATGATAGTTTCCACATGTCACCTCCAATGTCCACCAGACTCTTGGTTGCACCAGGTCAGCTGTTGGGGATTCCCCTCTGTGCTTAAGTCACTGCGTGTTCTGATTGGCTACCTGTCCCATTCAACAGGTTCTGCTCACAGTCAGGGAAAACCCCACATGCCAACATGACCTGCATGACCTCCCTATTTTAGATCTGAGCAGTCCCAATGATCTACATAACACACTACACACTGCAGGATGATCGGTTACTATTATTGCAACAGAGTTGACAATCTTAGAACTCGGAATGTTCGTAAGGAGAAAATCAGGGCAAAATGTGAAATTGTGCCATGTCAAACAACCTTTAATGTACAATCTACTTTGACCTAATTATGACAACTATTATATTATATTCTAATTCTTACATTTTTATTCACTTAATTAGAAAGAACCATTTATGTTTAAAAAGACAAAAAGATTGCTGCTGGATCACAAACTATATTGAATGTTTTTCTTAGACTTTAGACCTCTGAAAGATAATATCTTGACAAAATTTTGTATTAGAATGGCTCAATTCTAAATATCAATCTGATTGGGGCCAGAAGAGAGGCCAACATTCCTCCATTGTGATGTAAAACACTCACTGACATGTCAGAACTTTGGCACCAACACAAGCAGGTCACTTTCTGTCAGCACCACCTTTGAATGTCTCCATGTCTCCTACAGACCGTAAATACTTATATTGACTTTACCAGTGATATTTTACTTAATTCAGATGCAAGTTTGAGTTTGCATAGCAGTTTGTTTGTCTTGTGTCTCTGTGTTTCGGGAGAGAGCAGAGTTCTTTCAAGGATGTTCACTGGCTTGTATTCAGCCTACAGATTGTATCTAATTCCAGATTTCTTGCAGAGCAAAGGGGGCTGCCTGCCCTGAGCATGCAAGGGGCAGCTTCAGCCTCAGCAGAGCCCTGTCACAACCAAGAAAGACCAAGATACAAATACAGCCTTCTTAAATAATGCATAGCACTCATCAAATTTACTAAGACTTAGACAAAATAAAATATTTAAGAAGCAAAACAGTAAGAGATTTAAGTCTACTGGAATATTAGCCTTTAGTCAAACGGAACCGAGTTTCATCAGACCTTCTCAATAAATGAGTCTGTCTGATCCACTTCTCCAACACCCTTACAGAGCAGGAGGGTCACTCAGGATAGGGAAAAAGAAGTGTGAAATCGATTGCTGCTTTATTCATCCTGCAATTCTAAATACTCTCACAGGCAAATCCTCTTGTCTAGGCCTCAATAGTGGCACTGTGTGAGGGTCTGCGTAGTTGCACATGTCATGCCCACATTAGAGTGAAAGGGAAAAAAACTAGGACAGGATTAGGTTTCACTGAGCTCTGCTATCAACTTATGTTTAGTTTTTTTTCCCCATTCCTTCTTATTGTCCTCTAACCATGTCCAATTTATTTCAACATTTTACAGCACATTTGAGTAGCTCTGTACATTCATTATAATGTTCTCTTTTTCAAACTTTCATTCTTGCCTTTTTAGAGGAATATTGCTTATTTGACAATCACTCCTTCCTGATTTGAATACTGTGAAGTTATTTTTTCATCTTATGCTTTATTTTTATTCGTTTTCAAACATACAGACATACACATTCAAACAGGAGGGCTAGAGCAGGTGGCAGGGATTCATACTGACGAGCACAACAGTTTTACAGACATTTCACCCATTCACATCAAGGGGACAGTGGTGGAGTGTGTGAACAGCTACAAGTTTAACCCAAATCCTCTCCAAGGCTCTCACCTGGACAACCAGCTGCTCCAAGCTGGTCAGGAAGGTTCACCAACACCTCTTCTTTCTGAGGACTCTGAGGAAGAACCAACTATCCTCAGAGATCCTGGTGAACTTTTACCACTGCACCATTAAGAGCATCCTGACCAACCGTATCAGTTTGTTACTGGAGGTGCTTTGCCTCCGACCAGATGGTTTATTTATTTAAGATTATTTGGTAGGGACAGACACACATTGATATAGACAAACTGAACAAAACAGCAGTCCCATATTTGCATTATAGTGCAATAGCAACAGCTAATTTGCAGCACTTGTCCCTAGATGGGCTTTTAAAAAGTCCCTAAAGCACTTTGAAATGCTTTGCTGCTGAAATGTGCTATACAAATAAAATTTGATTGATTGATTGATCTACAGCAGGGGTGCTGAAGCCCAGTCCTGGAGAGCTACCATCCTGCAACTATCTGATGCGTCTCTGCTCCAACACACCTGAATCAAATGAATGGCTTGTTAGCAGGCCTGTTCAGAGCTGATCTGTTGGAATAAGGCTGCATCTAAAAGTTGCAGGACAGTAGCTCTCGAGGACTGGACTTGAGCTCCCCTGATCTACAGGAAGCGCTGTCTAAAAAGGGATTGGAAAATTATGAAAGACTCCAGTAACGCAGCACAGGCACTCTTCAACTTTATGCCCTGGAGGAGGCGCTACAGGAACCTACGGACTAGGGCCATCAAGTACTGGAAGAGCTTCTTTCCCACAGGTGTCACACTCCCTAATGACTAAATAACAACGATGGCTGTATTCTCATATACACAACAACACATGGACTGATATATCACTTATTTACCAGGCACTTTGACATATTAGTCACTTCTGTATATACTATATACTATATAATCTACTCCTGTTTAGAATTTCTACAGTACTTACACTAGCTAGCTACACCAGTTTGAAGTTTTTTCTTTTTTTTTAAAATATGCTAAAACTGTAAGCATACGTATATACAGGTTACCATGTACATTTGTAATACATTTTTATTTTCTGGATCGATGCAAAACGCGTTTTGTTGCTTTGAACTTGTGATATGTGCAATGACAATAAAGTTGAATTCTATTCTATTCTATCTTGTTTTCTATGCTGTAGAGCCAGAAATCAGAATGTTGTGAATGGGTCAGGGGAATATTGAAGGATTATCTAGATCTCCTTGAGCCCAGGACAAACTCTCTAATTTTCTATTCTTGTCCAATCAGTAAAAAAATCTAATAAAATGATAGACTTGAACAGGCTGGTGCTTCCATCTTGTGTTTAATGTATTACTTGTGGAAAAGCCATTTACAGGACAATGTGACCCCATCACCTAACATCCACCAGTAACTGCACACAGCAACAGCTGACAGGACATAAAGGTTAGATACTGAGGGCAAAGGATAGAGCTGACAGGATGCTGAGGAAGACGGTAACACACTGAGGAGGGAAACATTTTCAAGGAAAATTGTTGATAAAGATCACATGTTTGGCTGAATTTAATGTGAAGTGAACAGAGTTCATCTTCAGCTTGTGTCACTTATGAAAACATCAAAAATCATTTATCCTAGGCAATGCCTAGCAATCTTTGCTTCTTGAGAATTGCAGGTGGCATATACTCCTTCAGTGATGGAAGTTAATTTATTTACATCAGGTGGATCAGATTTTGCATAACCTCCGGTGGAGTCAGTGCTGGCTCCATGGCAGGATTGTTGGTAGATGTGATCTTCATGCCTCAGAGATATTAAAGGGGCCAAAAATGTAAAAGAATTCAAAAGTTCTGAATAAGAGATCACATAACAGTGTGATTCATTATGTGATTAGATTTTTTTTCAGCGTTATATGCATTTTTCTCAGTGCTTTGCACGTAAGTCTTACTCTGATTGTTAACCTGATCAACAGCATGCACAAGTGTCCCAGACAAAACTCTGCAGCCCCATAACTGTGAATTTGCCCATAGGTTTCTTTATTATAAACAAGAAAAGGTGCATATCAAGAACAGTATGGTAATTATCTAATAGATGGGGCAGTTTGAGAGTGTGCGTGTGTGTGAGACAGAGAGACGTGCTGTGTGAAAAACAGTTTGCAATATCACTATTATGTCTTTGTGCAATGACAATAAATTATGTATAAGTGTAAGTTTGGCCCAAATGATTCAAGAAGTTTATGCTGGCTTTCTGAATGATGTCAACAACATTCAGGGCTGCATAGTTTTAAAATGCCAATATGATGGTATAAGAAGCAGAACCCAGAGCACTAAAGGACAGCAGCCAGGTGTTCTTTTTGAGTCTGTGAGGAAAACCAGAAAGAAGAATGAGAGGAGCACAGACTCACAGAGAAACAAGGGAGATGGGCTCATCTGAAATACAGATATTGTATTTTTTCCTATTGAGCAGAGTTCCTAGCACACAGCCTTACCTCTCTACTTCATCTTTGCTGCTCTGCTTTTCACAAAGCTCCTGGTCCAGGGAGGAGGAAGTGCTTCCTTCTCGGCTGACCCCGCTGTTACGTCCTGGGCTGTTGTCTGCAGATCCTCTCCCTTCCCCTCCAGCAGTAGAGCGGGGATTAATGGCATCTGTGTGCTGCTTCAGGGTCTGAAGCTTGGCTAACGGGATGATGTCACATCCTTGAGGCCTGTGCCACACTGTTCGCTGGGTGGAGGCATTGTAGTAGTAGAAGCGAGAAGTGTTGGGGTCAAACAGTTCCCACCACTGATTTTCACCAGTCCGCTTGATGCAAACTCCCTGCGGGGGGTCCCACACACACTCGCCTGTCAGTAGGTTGGCATACATACGCTCCCTGGTGCGGGGTTCAATGATCTCCACCCACTCCAACCTGCAGAAGGAGAATTCATGAGGAATTCTTAGCAGACAAAACAAGAGTGTCATCTCTATGTAAAACCAGATCTTTGTTGAGGAAACAAGACTTTGTCTAATTTTGCTGCTATTTGAACCTTAAATAAATTTGATTTCAGAGCTTTACCAAAAATTTGCTTCCAAATGTGAAAACTGTGACATTTTGTACAAAACCCTTTCAGTCCTCAAGTTTTTCATTTGGGAATGAAAAACTTGATGTATCACATCACATTCAATTTGAGAGCTATGCCTCTCTTCAACATGGCTCTAAAATTGGCATGGCTTCCCTGAACACAACGTACATGAATGAATGATAAATTAATCATTTATTATTATTAATTATATCAAACTTCACAAATCTTCTCTATGTCAACCCACTAACTACAAAGTCATGAAACCACAAGGTAAACAGACAAAATACTCGTCTAATAAAAGCTTAGACTCCATAGGTTCTAAATGCATGTCATTACGCTTTACCCAGAGTTGAGGAGGACATGAGCCAACACAAATCTCTACCACAAACTTGAGTTACAAAATTTCTTACTTCTGCAGTTTGTTCTCGAGAAAATATATTTTCGTACAACAGTATTTTCTAAAATAAGTAATAGCTCTTAAATAAGCATTTAATTTTCCATTTTTAGTCATCAACAACACCAATTGTGCTGACTGTGATTTGCTGATAAGGCAACAGTTGGTGCATATGGTCTCATTCTATTGCTCTTGTTATCGCGGAAATATTTTTTAGAGTTGGTTTTGCGGAAAGATTGTTGGGGCCATTAAGGTCAATATGACCTGATTCCCTTGCATGCAAAGCACAAAATATGATTTGGCAAGTAAGCTGTTTCGATAGATAAGAGCAACAATTGTGATTAATTGGCTTATTCGGCAGTTCTAATGTGGACCAGATGTTTAGATCAAGAGGTCATGATTATTCCAGAGAAACTCCGACACACTCAGTTCATGGGCAGCCAAGATTCTTGACACAAACCAAAATAATTATCTGGATAAGTCAAAACTTCCCCCATACACACTAGTAGTGTAAAGGGAGGTGCATAAAAAGGGTTGTTGATAAGGAACGGGGGATTTTGAGGAAAAGACTTTTGGAAGTGATAATAAATCTCCCGACCCGTCGTTGCTGGCAGTAAAGGCCTCGTCTCTGAGTATTATTTGTTTACTTATATAATCAAGAGTTTTGCACCTTCCGATTCTCCAACACTCTAATAATTAAGAAGTAAAAGTAAGTGCAGGTGACACAATGCATGATCTCAAAAAGGAATGTCATGACTTGTGGGTCCCATTGTTTTTGGAGACAAACTGGAGATGGATATGCCTAACTCAACATAGCAGATATTTTTGGTCACAAGTTTTGTTTTTTGCTGCTCTGATTAAAAAAAGCTAAAATTCTTTATTTTAGATTTATTGAACATCAGTGATGATTTACAAATAAAATAACTGTAAATGAGAAGATATAAATCACAATTTGAACCAAATTAGGCCAAATTGTTCTTCCTGAAGACCTCACCTGACCTGTTTATTAAAGTCTCAGTTTTTACTTGATGAACATTTTTTCTCCATCACCTTGTGAAGTAAAATCTTCAGAGATCACGTTAGCATATCATATATATCATACTATAATTTGATAGAGGCTTGGAGCTTCATTAGAATCATCCTCAAAGGAATAATCAACCTAAAAGTGTTTTTTATAAGGCAAACCTGAATATTTCTGTTTGTGCTGTATATCATCTTCACTGACAAATATAATGATATTGAGGCATCTAAACAAATCTCACAAGTGTTCCCTTTACCAAGATACCATAACTTGGTAATCCGGTAGACTCAGTTCAACTGATGACCAAAATTGGTTTGGTTAAAATTGGAATCGGCAGGTTAAGCTTTTTAAAAGATCGGCGATCTTCCAGAAAACTGAAGTTGGTGCACTCCTACAAAAAAATGTATGAACGTATAATAGATGCTACACTCAGAAAATGGAGATTCCACTCTACACTAAAGATTATTATTCGATCCGAATATTGCTTTTGTCCCCAACTCTTGGTCAGCCTGCACCAGGGCTGGTGCTGCTCTGGTCTCTGCAGAGCTTCCCAGATCTGCTGAGATCATGTGGACCTCTCAACAACCACACTAAAAATAGCAGCAGCTGCAGAGGGCTCACACACAAATGACAACCTTCCTCCAGCAGCACACAGAACCAGATTCCTTAAGTGTTTACACTGGAACACAACCAAACTCAGAACATGTCAATACACTGAAGTCCAAGTAGGTCTGCTTGTGTGGCCAAGATTGCTCTTAATGAAATTCCTCATAAACATTGATTTATTGAAATGGCTCCCAATACAAGTTATGGTCTATTTAAATTATAACTTGTTAAGTTGCTTTATTTTTAAGCCTTTTTAGTTTTGATATGTCATGTTGATGGAGAAACAACAGGTAGATAGAAATGAATATCTGGGGAGTATTATAACTTAAATTTAACACTTAAACCAATAGGGTTTATATAGAAAAATATTCAGATTCTATTTTGTGATTTTAAAGGCTCCCGTACCCACTAGGGACAAGGATTTTAGAAAATGGATGGATAGTGAGAAATAAAGGCAAAGCTTTCTTTTTTCTATTTGTTCTTTCTTCTGTTCTCGGCTCCCACACTGAGCCGGGTCCACTTGCTCAGTCCCTCCCTCCCACTTCAAACTCTTCTAACTAAAAGTTAAAGAGCTAAATGTAAATAAGATGTTTGCTACTTTTGACAAAAAAAACCCTGAGCCTATGAAAGCAGTGTAGCAGTTTTGCTCATAATTCAGCCAAAGTAATAAAATAGCGAGTCTGATTTTTATTGTTAATATGTTTCTTCTTATTAAACAGTGAAAGTAAATAAAATGTTTATATGTCTTTTGCTTGAAGTATTTACTTACTGGAGGGTTTTATGTTTGTGCTGCAGAGCCACAGCTAACAGCTAACAGCTAGCTCCTCACTTCAGTGGCTCTGAGCCTGTGTTCAGCACTGCTGTTGATGATCCTTCACTTATTTTTCTTTTATTTGGGGAGGAGGGGCACAACAATTCCAGACCCCCTGACCTCTGGACCCTCCTTGGACTTACGCCTATGGATCCATCATACTCTTAGGTATATATATATGTTTTACACATTTTGTATTTATTCTATTCTATAATAATTGTGCACATAATGTAGTTCCTTAAAATGTGCATTTACCAACTTCTGGTCAAGTTATGCTGGAGTGTCAACCTGGCTGGCTGGTTGACTGATATATATATATATATATATATATATATATATATATATATATATATAATATATATATATATATATATATATATATATATATATATATAGGCAGACAACTTTGGCCAACATGTTCAACTAATCTGGATCCTTTTAAACTCATGAACGACTAACGATCCTAACAGGTATTATCTAAAGCAAGCAATTGTTCTATATGCTTCTGTATCTGCTGTCAGTCTGGATATTGGACAACCTTTTCATTTGGATGTCAGTCTGCTCTGCAGGGTGTGTGTGTGTGTGTGTGTGTGTGTTGTGGAACTTAGTGCTACAGCATCCTAAAGACAAAAGACATAGAGGGCATTGTCTCCTAGCAACCATGGCTTATGCACTTGCTTTGTCCTTGTGTTCTGCACATGAATGGTTTCTTGTGCAGAACACAAGAAACCATTGGCAGGTGAGTATCTGCCATTTACAGAATTATTACAAACCATCAATCAGTCTTTCCATGAATATCATGTGTAACAGTTAAAACGGTTCAGGTTAAGTCCTGCTAAAATGCACCATCTGCTGGTAAAAAGTTGTATTGCATTCACCTTAGAAAGTATTATCCTTAGAGCCATGAGGATCACTGACGAGGTAATGTGTCTGCTTTGTAATAAAGAAATATAATTTCTGCATTTTATAAAATATGTTTATGGTTTTCATTTTTGCATATTATTGAAATATGTTAAATTTAGGTCACGCTAGATCTGTTATTACGTCGTTTCTGTCGTGTTTTAGAAATGTTTAGTTTGTGAGAAAGTGTAGTGGGAACTTCCCACACAGTAACACTATTGACTGACCTTACCTCCATGCCTATTATGTGAAATGCAGGTATGTTGTACCAAATCTCTTGTATCAGATAGTTAACATATGGCTGAGTTTTATATTAACAATTTTGTTTAAAGATATGGTTTATTTATGTTTCTGCATTTCTACAAGATGCAAGTTTAAATAAACTAAAATACAACAATGTCATCCAGTAAATAAGATGCCAGGATTTCATTTTATTTTTCAGAGGATTTTATTTGATTGCCTTACTTTCTTTGAAAAAGAAACTGGTTGTTCCTTTAATGTAAATAAAATCCACTATGTGATCACTGTAATTTTCAATAATTTTATTGTGATTACTGTAATATGGGTAATCCTCAGAGCCATGAGGATCACTGACAAGGAGCTTGTTTTATGCCAGACACTGACCTTACTTCGACACCCATTGTATGAAATACACATGGAGAATTAAAGAAAAACAACTAATGCCAGCTTGAGCTCCTTGTCGTTCATTGCCACATGAAAAGAAGCCATCAGATCCACATAGGTCACACATACATGGTCTTATAGATGCTGCTGCATTAATGTGATGAGATTTCTTGAATACACACGTTGGGATAAAACTCAGGTTTCAACTGAGCACTACAAACTGGAAACAACTATGTCAACAAAACAATGAGAATATTGAATGTCATTGTGATTCAATGTTCACAATGAGAAAGGGCCAATATTTTTGTAAAATTGTCTTTCTGAGATTTACAACATGCAATTCACTCATCAAAAACAGACTGGAGCGCTGCCTTGATTCTTTCATGCATGTCTACGAAATTCTTTAATATTTCATCATAACCATTTGTCAGGTTCTGCGGCTTCGGCAGCTCCTCTGGTTCCTTTCTAGGTGGCGTATATGAGCTCGGTG